TTATAGCATAGATTAGTACAAAAGTTCCGAACTACCGGGTTTTGAGTACAAGTTTTCACGGGGCCTTGCACTACGCAAAGCTCAAAGTAAAAGCTCCGAGCGCCTGAAGTCGACTTTCGCTTCGGTGCTCTATCTCCATGAGGCTCAATGGCCCCGATGATCCAAGTTTATCGGATCGCTTCGGGCTTGATTCTAAGAACAACGATGAGCTCGGAAAGGAGCCATTTCTGTCGACCAAAGGCCAGAAAAATATTGACAATCGTCAATAGAGGCATACATTCAAAATCTCCGTGAACGCACAAGAGTATACGAGAACACGATAAAAATCAAAGGTAGAAGCAAAGGAAAACATTCAAAAGCCTCGGAGTACGCAAGAGAATACAATAATATGGCAAGTATCAGAAACAGGAATCAAGGAAGTATCTCTATATTCATGAATAGTCATGTACAACGGCCCTCAAGGGGCCCTCTCATATGATTACAAAAGCCTACAAAGGACCTCTACACAAAAATGAAGAAGCATGAAGATGTACATATGATGAAAGCCCAAGAACCCGGTCTACCCTCGAGGGTCCATCTCCTGCGACAAGCGCCTTCGGGCAAGCATCCATAAAAGCCTCATCCCGGCCTTCCACACTGATATCCCCAAAAAAATAGGGCGAGAAGTAGGAAGGGATGAAAAAATGCCATAGCTCGCCGAAGGTCGAGGACCCTCGCTTGCCAAGAGAACCTCAGAGAGGCAGCGGACCGGTTGAGGCTCGACCTCACTTGCACGGCTACTTAGAATCCATTTGTTAGAACGCTTAGCCGTGCAAGATGCCAGCTCGGGGCAGAGCGCCATGTCGAGCCGGGGTAAGAAGGTGAGCAACGGTGTATAATTTGAGCCCCCTTCTGAGCAGCAGTATGCAATTCGAAGAGCTTTTCACGAGCAAAGGAAGCTGACCCCCGTATGTCATCATCCCGAGCAAACAAGGGTAGCAGAAACAGATGTAACAACAACTACAACAGCAATAGGATGACATGGTCGTGCTCGACAAGGGGAAGCTCCGGCAAGAGGCCGCAACACAACCTACGGCGGCTCTGCGAAGCGGCCTTGGGTCCACAAACCCCAAACATGAGGATCAATGATAGAGGAAGATGATTAGAAAAAATGGGCGAATGAGCAGATGAAGGTACTTAGATAGAAAAACAACGCCAGAACATCCCGATTTATAAAGGGTAACGACACAGCCATCGAGGCTTTGGAAGATTAACTGGAGGATGCAATTACTGTGTTCTTGAAGAGCCGAATCGATGATAGTACTTTCACCTTGAAGAACAGGAATCGACAATGCATTGAATGATGTCAAATACACAAGTCCGTAGGACATCCCGGTTGTCGCAAAAGCTCGCCCCACAGGTTGCATCATTGGTATGACGTCACCGCGAGAAGCTCGTAGAGTCAGGTGTCAAAATCATTTTCTGTTGCTTTATTCTAGGAAACGCAGAGTCTATCTGTATGTGGCGAAATAAGAGGGCTTAATTTCTCGCTATCAAGCCACTTCGAAAGAATATCTCGAGACCCCGGGGACGTGGAGTTGCGACCGAGTTCCCTCCCTCGGGGCTCGTCGAGACCCGACTCAGAGAAGACGAAGATCGAGGATGGGACAAAAAGGGGAGTTCCCAAGGCACGCGGCTAAGTCTGACAGAGCCGGCCTACCCAGAGCCTGTGTCGAGGCATCACGTCTAGCTGTCTCATCTCCATGCTTTTACAATTAATGTATGTTGTACTATAACCGGATTCGCCTCCTATATAAAGGGAACCCTCACCACCTTGTAAGGGGCTGATGTTGCTCCCACTATTCTCTACATCAATAATATTTTTCTCTCTTTTCTCTCTAACTCATTTGCTCGAGGCTACTTTTTCTACTTATCATTTTCATATCTATTCTTCACTTAGCGCTCGGTATTGGCCATAAAGAGCCATCTTCAATTACATTCTAACTGTTATCCCTTCCCCGGTTACCCCCGATATCTCGAGCTCAAGCCAGATTTTGACCTTGAGGCCCTTTATCGATCAGTCCGAAGACCGGGCAGCAAGCCCCTCGATTTGATTACTGCCCCTTTTTAACTTGCATCTCATCATTAAACTTCATACTTCTAGCATCAACCGCTGTAACAACTAGCATAAAAATAGATCATGTATTTTTAGAGTCCCATTTAAAATTTAATTGTTGTTACCATTTTCACGGTAAATATGCCTCTTTGAATATTGCTCTTTGACTGGCCCAGATTTGAATGTGACCTTCCTTGTCATAGCTGAATTCAAGGAGAGATTAATTAGTGATCATATTCTTCGAAAGTGGAATGATCAAGATCGGTAATCCGAGTTCCCTTGATTGAGTCAATATGCTTCTTGATTGAACATTAATGATTGTAACTGAATCTTTATTCAATCCTTGATTAGGGACGAGTCAAGCTGCCTCTTAATGATCATTAATGCAGTAACTAATTCTTCCTTCTTCCTTTATTTTGAATCCAGTAGCAATCTTGCTAATCATCTTCATTCTTTCATTTTTGTTTGCCCTGAAAATATAACATAAGATAATATTGTCATCATTGAAACTTAAACTTAAAACCTATCAATCTCCCCCTTTTTGATGATGACAATCAAGATGGAGTAAACAAGATTAAAGAAGCTTAAGATACTATTATTTAGGAGTTTCTCCCCTGAGCTAGTGAGTTGCTCCCCCTGAGCTAGTGCTTCCCTTGAGTTGAATTGTTCTTATGTTTGGAAAGCTGTGCTCATGTCTCCTCCTGAGTGTTTACTCACATTTTTTTCTCCCCCTTTGACATCAATCAAAAAGGAAAGAGGAACATAACATATAAAAACACAGAGCATATATAATAAACATACTAAAGGGGTTAGAGCAGTAGAGCCTTCAGCAGAGGCTTAAGTTAGTACAGACCAAAAAATAATAGTCTAAAAACCACAAAACAAAACATAAGTTGTTTGTCACAAAACAACCAGAAATAATTAATGATGTCCCAGAAAGTATTCGAGGGTGTTGATCACTTTGGTGCAGAAGGAGTCATAGGAGTTGTCAACATCCTTGACGAGCTTGTCCATTTTTTCAGTCATGGAATTGAAGGCCCTTGTTCCCTGTCTCCTTGTAGCCCCTATGTCTATCTGGAGCTTTGCTACATCTGAACTTGTCACCTTAGTGACTTCTCTGATTTTATCTACCTGTTCTTTCATTCCCACCAGCAGCAACTTGACTTCATCAAGTTGTTTAATTTGTGGAAGACTCTGGGAGGTAGTCCACTGAAGGATTGGTTGATCAACTTAAACGTCTACCAGAGCTGGAGCACTTTCAACCTTGGCCCTTTTAACCCATCCATTTTCACCCAATGAGTAACCCATCATAGAGAAAGTAGTTTTATCATAGGTACTGGAGATGTGCTTGGGGGTAAAGGGTGCTAAATCAACCTTCATAACTTCTAGAATATGAGAGACAAGAATAGCATAGGGCAGAAAAGTAGCAGATGAGGAAATATCCCTGATACTCTCAAGCATATATTGACAGATCCATACAAACCAATTAAGACACTTGTTGTTGATCAGACAGTAGAGGACAAAGACATCTCTAGTAGACAATGAACTTAGGGATCCAGACCTGGGAAGTAAAGCAGTAGCAATCATGTGGGCCAAAATCCGGTGTTCAAATTTCAGATTTTTGGGGCCATTGTCAGGGGGATTATCAGACAAAAAGGTTTTTGCTTCTTCAAGAGACACATCAAAGTCATTGGGCTAAGAATTTTAGACAAATACATCATACCCACTAAATTTGGCCGAAAAGATCTTTTCAAATTGGTAGGAGTCCAACACAATTCTAGTTCCTAAGACCATAGACTCTAATCATCCTTATCATTCACAGATAGATTTTCATAAAACATTCTCACAGGTTCTTCATACACAGAATTTCTAAGAGTGTCAAACATAGGGGAAAGGTGCTGGAAATCAAAAATTTCAGCCACATCACAATGAAGACTTTGCATAAGAGAGAGACTTATAAATCGTCCATAAGCCATGGATTTTGACTTATAGGACTCAAACCTTGCCTTTTCACTGGGGCCATAGAAGATCAACTTGTCTTCTGGACCGAAATTCAAGCGTTCTACCTTGCCCTTTTTGTATGCAGCCTTTTTGGAGGTTTGCTCCATGAGTCATTTTTCAGCCTTTTTCTGGATAATGGGTTGATATTCAGATGAAGCACTGCTATCATTATCAGTTTTGAGTAGGTCTGAATTAGTAGATGATTCTACATCCACCGTTTCTTTTGTATGTTGGGAGGTTTTTGAAACCTACAGCTTCTCCTGGTTACAGAGGAAGGGTTTCTTTTGGCCATGAAGAAATTGGAAGGGTTTTTGGTAAGGAATGAGGAAGGTGTTTTGGGAAGATAGAGGTTCTTATCAAGGATTTGAGAAAAGTGAAGAGGCGTCTTGGTTATCGGGAAGGTCAAGTACAGACTGAAGTGATAGTTTGGAATGACTGCACGTAATAATTACACTTTCACAGTAAAATTGATTAGTACACGGATAATTAAGGAAATAAAATATACTGAAAATATACATAATAATTTAAATAATTAAACATGCAACTGGTTTACAAATTTGGCAGAATGCCAATCGTTTTTCGAAGAATACAAAATCTCTCTTCTAAAACAGGTTTAGTGAAGATATCCGCAAGTTGAGAATCAGTGCTAATGAATTCTAATGCAATATCACTTTTTGCTACATGATCACGAATAAAATGATGTTTAATTTCTATATGCTTCGCCCTAGAATGATGCACAGAATTTTTAGATAGACAGATAGCACTAGTGTTGTCACAAAAAATAGGAGTAACAGTAAGACATAAATCATAATCAAGGAGTTGATGCGTGATCCATAAAACTTTGTGTACAACAACTTCCAACAGCTAGGTATTCTGCCTCAGTTGTTGAAAGAGCAATACAATATTATTTCTTGTTGTGCCAAGATACTAAGGCATTTTTCAGTAATTGACATGTCCCACTGATACTTTTCCTATCAGTTTTGTCTCGTACAAAATCAGCATCTGAAAAGCCTCTTAAAGAAAAATTGTTAGAATGATCATACCAAAGGCCGAATTCAGTAGTACCAATTAAATATCTAATAATACGTTTAACAGCAGTCAAATGTGATTCCTTAGGAACTGACTGAAATCTAGCACATTTGCAAACACTAAACATAATATCTGGTCGATTAGCAGTTAAATAAAGTAGAGATCCAATCATTCCTCTATACATGGTTTCATCAACCATTTTTCCATTGTTGTCGTCATCTAGCACAGTAGTTGGACTCATAGGAGTACCAATAGCCTTAACATTTTCCATTCCAAACTTTTTGATAAGCTCCTTGGTGTATTTTGATTGGCTGATAAAGATTCCTTTAGGAGACTGCTTGATTTGAAGTCCAAGGAAGAAGGTTAGTTCTCCCATCATGCTCGTCTCAAATTCACCTTTCATGGAAATAGCAAATTCTTCACAAAGAGTAGTGTTAGGGCTTCCAAAAATAATATCATCAACATAAATTTGAGTAATTAGATTACCAAAATTTGATTGCTTAATAAAGAGAGTTGTATCTATGTTATCTCGTTTGAAACCTTGATTCAATAGAAAAGAACTTAACCTTTCCTACCAAGCTCGCGGAGCTTGTTTGAGACCGTACAGGGCTTTAGTAAGCTTGTATACATGGTTTGGAACAGTGGCATTTGCAAATCCAGGAAGTTGCTTTACGTATACTTCTTCAGATATAAAACCATTTAGGAATGCACTTTTGACATGAATCTAATATAGTTTGAATCCTTTGTAGGCGGCAAAGGCAAGTAAAATTCTAATGGATTCAAGTCTTACCACAGGTGCAAAGGTTTCATCATATTCGATTCCTTCTTGTTGAAAGTAACCTTGAACCACTAGTGTTGCTTTATTTCGAACGACTTGGCCTCATTCATTCAATTTGTTTTTGAACACCCATTTAGTCCCAACAACAGAGGAGTTTTGGGGTTATGGAACTAATTCCCAGACTTATTTTTCTCAAACTAATCTAATTCTTCTTTCATAGCATTGATACAATGAGAATCTTTTAGAGCTTCATCAATCTTTTTGGGCTCAATTTGAGAAATAAGAGCTACATAAGACTTGTTCTTTTGTGATCTCCTGGTAGTTATCCCTTCTGTGGATCTCCAATAATGAATTTGTGAGGATATCCTGGTTCGTTCCTCCATTCATTTGGAGTATTCACAGAAGATATGTTAGTCGACTGATCTGGTTGAGATAAGTCGTGATCTTCTGAATGAGCTTCAGCTGGTTGATTCTGTTGATTAGCTGACTCAGTTTGATGATCTTTTCCTATAATAACAGATTTTGGAGCACACAAAATTTCCTCATCTTCAGGAACATGTTCATTCCTTGAGCGAGGGTTAGTATCAATAAAAATAACATGAATAGATTCTTCAATGCATAAGGTTCTCTTATTGTAAATTCTGTAAGCTTTACTAGAGGGAGAGTAACCAAGAAATATACCTTCATCACTCTTCGGACCAAACTTGCCCAGATTATCCTTACCATTGTTATGAACAAAACATTTGCATCCGGAAGGGTGGAAGTAGCTGATGTTTGGTTTCTTACCATTCCATAGTTCATAAAGAATCTTTTTGAGAATACAACAAATGAGACATCTGTTAATAATATAACACACTATACTTACAGCTTTTGCACAAAAATGGTGAGGTAAAGAGTTTTCCACTATCATTGTTCTTGCCATATCCTCCAAGGTTCTGTTTTTTCGTTCTACTACACCATTCTGTTGAGGAGATCCAGGTGAAGAGAAATATGAGAGATTCCTTGGTCATTGCAAAAATTTTCAAACGCTCTGCTTTCAAAATCTCTTCCATGATCACTTCTGATTGTAGAGATGTAATAACCTTTCTCACGTTGAACCTTCTTACAAAAAACTTCAAAATTCTTTAAGGCATCATCTTTATGACTAAGAAATATAACCCATTTAAATCTTGAAAAATCATATACAATAACAAAAGCATATTTCTTACCTCCAATACTAGCAGTTCTAGTGGGACCAAATAAATCTATATGCAGTAGTTGAAGAGGTTTAGATGTAGAAACAATGTTTTTAACTTTGAAAGAGGATCGAGTTTGCTTTCCTAATTGACATGCATCACAGATATGTTCTTTTGAAAAATCCAGTTTTGGAAGACCAATGGCAAGGTCATGTTTTGAATGTTTTTGAATGGTGTGCATACTTGCATGCCCAAGTTTCCTATGCCAAACCCAGGGATCTTCAATTATAGAAGAAAGACAAATTTGATCCATAAAGTTTTCTAGGTTTTTGATAGTATAGACATTTCTGTCCCTATTACCAGAGAGAATTATATTACCTGATTCGTCTTCTATAACCCAGCCATATTTCTTAAAACGAACCTCATAATCATTGTCACATAGTTGACTGATGCTGAGAAGATTGTACCCGAGTTCATCCACTAAGTAAATTTTTTCCATGTCACATGTAGAGCTTAAAGGAACCTTTCCAACACCAATAACGTTTCCTTTGGATTTGTCACCAAATGTAACTGTTCCTCCATCTAGCTTGGTGACTGGTTTGAATAATTGTTTGTCACCCGTCATATATCTGGAACACGCGCTGTTGAGATACCATTTTCCTTTTCGATTCTTCTTGCAGTGTTCCTGCAAAACAAGATTACTTATTTTTAGGTACCCAAGCCTGCTTGGGTCCTGACTGGTTAGATTTTTTAGTTTGATTTGAAGATTTTGGTCTCCAAATCCATCTCATGTTATTTTTGAACATGCAATGATTTGAGGCATGACCTCTTTTACCACAGTAGGTGCAAGGTGAGCTGTTAGAATTATTCACAGCTCTAATCCTATTCCTGTAATTGTTAGTGCTATGCCCATTTTTACCAAAAAAGGTGTTACACCCTATGTTTTCGTATGTTAGAGTATCCGTAAATCAATTGATGTAAGCTCAGAAATGAGATAAACTTTGAAAGTACATAAAGTAAGTTAATACTTTTATAATGGAGGTTACAAATCTTTATGATCATGAAAAATGAGTACCAAAAGGGTAAAAAAGCTTAGGCGCTAAATGAATTAAAGAAAATAAGTTTCGTCGAATGTCGACAAGTTTGGAATATTATAACCTATACTTTTGGGGTGAGACAAGGGTGATTAACATGATGATGAGGTTATGTTATGAGTTAGTTTAGTCGTATGATAGTCGTGTGTTACGTTTTTAAGTCAAGCAAGCTGTGGAACAAAAGTTGGAAAAGGTCATCACAAGTTACATTCAAAAATGAGTTGAAACTTAGGTTAAATGTAGCTGAGCTTTTATCCCAACATACTTTGAATCAAGGGATGATCTACATATGAAATTTAAGATCTATGCGTCTAGTTTTCAACTCATTAAACCGTTTATCAATACGATCTCGGAGTGTAGCNTTGGGCTGTTTTGTGTTGGTATTGGGTTGTCTCTTTTACTACTATTTTTATGGAGTTGAGAGGATGAAGTTTGTGGAGAAACACCACATAATGGCAAGGTTGTTTGTTGGTCGTTTGTCGTAACATTTTCGGGTTGGTTGACACTATTATGATTATCGTGTTGTGTATGAAGTGATAGGGGTATGTTGGGCTATTTGTGATTGTTTTACCTAGTGTGAAGTCATATATATATATAGGGGAGGTTCTGTCCGTTTCATTGTAAAATAGGTTGTGGTCGATACATAATAGTTACGACGCTTAAATGATAACGAGAGTGTCCTTTCTCTTATTGTAGACTAAGGAGCCATGATNACGGAGTCCTCTTTGAGGCCGGGTATGATATGACGATGATGATACCCACAGAGGCGAATGTTTTTAAAAAGTTCATGTATATATATGTATTATGCATTTCATGTTAGTAGCCCCTAGAGACACTCAGATGTTACAGGTTGTATCTCCTCTATCTCTCTTTACATTACTGTTCTTGTTTATGCTTTCCTGCCTTACATACTCGGTACTTTATTCGTACTGACATCCCTTTTGCCTGGGGATGCTGTGTGTTATGCCCGCAGGTCCCGATTGATAGGTTGACAGTCTTCCTAGTAGGCTATCAGCTCAGCGAAGGTGTTGGTGCACTCCACTTGCTCCGTAGTTGCCTAGTTGGTCAGTATGCTTTGGATATGTATTGATTGGTATGGCTGGGCCCTGTCCCGATCTTTACAATTTTATGTACTCTTAGAGGCTTGTAGACAGATGTCAGGTGTAAGGACACTTGTATGGCTTTTTCGGCCTATGTTTGGAGTTTACAAATGGTCATGTCGGCCTTATAGGCCCGTATGTCACATATATAAGTTTGTATATTATTTTGGGTCTTCATATATTGAGTATTACCTTATGTTTTATTCTTGTTATCTCATGACCGATTTTCTGGCTTATTTACTCATGATAGTATGATAAGAAAGATATGTTACGTTGGTACTCGGTTGAGTAAAACACTGAATGCCCGTCGCAGCCCTCTGATTCAGGTCGTGACAAAAGGAGCATGCTGTCTTATTTCTAATAGGAGCATTTTGGACTGAACTGGAACTTAAAGATTTTTGTAGACCATTCAATTGAAGCCTGAGTTCGTTTACTTCTTCTTCAAGTATATCACGTTCAACTTCGCATATTTCTAGTTTCTGGGCCAAATCCTTCTTTTCTCTTTCTCTTTCCCTTTCTCTTTTGACTTTTCTGAGTTCATTACTACTTTTTCAATGTATGCAAGAGAAATATCAACAAATTCTTGAAGTTCATAACAAGATGGACATAAGGAGTACGTACCTCACTAGTTCCTTCATCCAATGGTGAATAGGGTCTTCTTGAATCATCTTCTTCTTCATTTTTGTCTGTCATTAGTGCAAGTTTATCTGGTTCTTCAATGTCGCTAAGAGCCATAAAACACATATTAGCGATTTCCTCATGATTAGGTTTCTCCTCATCGCTCCATGCTCTAAAATCTTTCTTCTTATGCACATTCCTTCTAAGCTTCCTTTTTAATTCAGGACAGTCAGCTTGGACGTGTCCGAGTTTTCCACATTCGTAACATCTTCCATCATTCTTATCTGTTTCATTGCTTTCCCTTCCTTTTCTGAAATTAAACTTACCTCTTCTGTAGTTTTTGTTCCTTCTCATCATGTTGGTCACAACTTGTGAGAGCATTGCAATATTTTCATCTTGTTCTCCTCCTTCTACTTCATCTTCATTTTCAGGTTCAGCCATAGTTGCCTTGAAAGCAACTGTTTTCTTTTTCTCTTGAATTTGTCTATCAAGATGAGTTTTCTAAAAAGCGATCAAGTCACCTCTGAGTTCATCATAGGATATTTTGTCCAGGTCTTGACATTCTAGGGCGATAACTTTTGGTTGCCAAATTGTAGGTAGACTTCTGAGGATATTTCTAACATGTTCGCCACTTTTAA